TGTGTGTGTGTAGATAGATAGATAGATGGATGTATATAGTATATGTACACATACATAAACTGCTAGCTTTGTTCACTGAAAAGGCCTAGCTGTGATGTTGAAATATATCACTTATAAAACTCAAGCCTTGGGATTCCACCTCTTGGGTCCCCTTCTTCCTCCGGGAGAAGTCTTTTCTGCTGTCCTTTAATAAACTTCTAATTTCTAATCTGAAAAAAAAAAAAAAAAAAAAAAACTCAAGCCTTGGCCAGGCATGGTGGCACACACCTGTAATCCCAGCAACTCAGGAGGCTGAAGCAGCAGGATCACAAGTTCAAAGTCAGCCTCAGCAATTTAACAAGGCCCTATCTCTAAATTAAGAGAGAGAGAGAGAGAGCGCGCGCGCGCGCGGCGCGCGCTGGGGATGTGGCTCAGTGGTTGAGTACCCCTGAGTTCAATCCCCAGTATCAAAAAACAAAACAAAACAAAAACCTTTAAGCCTTCTTAGAATCATAGCCGATTCAAATATGTGTCCAAAGCCAGGCATGGTGGGGTGTGCCTTAAGTCCCAGCAACTCAGGAGACTAAGGCAGGAGGATCACTTGAGTTCACAAATTTGAGACCATCCTGGGAAACAGAAAGACCTGTCTCAAATGGAAAGGAAGAAGGGAAGGAGGAAGGGAAGGAAAAGGAAGTCACATCTGTATCCAAGATGTCCAAGGAGTATCTTATAAAAAAAACACAAGAAAAGAGATGACTAGTAATATTGAAAGAACTCAGGAATAACTTGATGAAACTCTACCAAAGTTGGGGCAGTTGACTCTTTTTTTGTGGGGGGCGGGCAGGGGACATACCAGGGGTTGAACTCAGGGGCACTCAACCATTGAGCCACAACCCCAGCCTTTTTTTTTTTTTTTTCATATTTTATTTAGGATCTTGCTGCGTTTCTCAGGGTCTCATTAAGTTGCCGAGACTGGTTTTGAACTTGTGATTCTCCTGCCTCAGCCTCCAAGCCGCTAGGATTACAGGTGTAGGCTGGCAATTGACTTTTAAATGATGACAATTCTTTTTTCTTTTTTTCTCATATGGGAAATTGAACCCAAAGCCCTCTAATACTAAGCCAAATTCCCAGCCTTTTTTATTTTATTCGAGACAGGATCCTCACAGGCCAAGTTGCCAAGTTCTAGGCCTAAAACTTGGAATCCTCTTGTCTCAGCCTCCTGAGAAACTAGAATTACAGGCTTGCACCACTGCATCTGGCAATAATAACAATTAAGTTATTTAAATCTATGTAATGTGTATATAAACTCACAAGTTTATAATGATAAATTTTTATGTGTGTGGTGCTAAGAATTGAACCTGAGGCTTCATGCATATCAGGCAAGCACTGTACCACTGAGCCACATCCCTTGCCCCATAATGATATACTTTTATTTTTTTAAAATATTCATTTTTTAAAAAGGGTAGTTGGACACAATACTGATATTTTATTTATTTTTATGTGGTGCTGAGGATCAAACCCAGGGCCTCGAACATACTAGGAGAGCACTCTATCGCTGAGCCACAACCCCAGCCCATGATACACTTTTGAAATTGTTACCTTAAAACAATGATAGAAGTCAGGTATGGAGGTGCACACCTGTAATCCCTATGGCTCAGGAGGCAGAGGCAGGAGGATTGTGAGTTCAAAGCCAACCTCAGCAACATGGAGGCACTAAGCAACTCAGTAAGACAGTTTCTAAA